TTTTTTTTAATTTTAAGCTGTCGTTTTTTGTTTTAAGCTGTCGTTTTTTGCTATTTAGTATTTATAAATTCAGCAATTATGATTTTCATACTTGTCATACCAAGAGTATGTATTATGGTTTTCTTGATTATTATTATTAATTTTTTTTTTTAAACTTGTTTATTTATATTTTTATAACATGCAATCCAATTAAAAATATATATTTAATACATTTATATACAATACAACTTTTGATTCAGTTTCATTTTGTATGTGTGTCTTAACAATTCCTGTTCCAATGAATATTTTTCTTGTCACTTGTTAAAAGTATATAAATTTTACAGGACATTTAATAAAATTATTTTTGCATAATTTAAATTTAGATAAATTTGCTCAATATAATATGTTATATTCCCATMGCTACAAACTTACAACTAATTTATACATCTAATAATTATTTTGTAATGTAATATCTAAAATTGTTTGTAAATATTGATATTTCTATCATCAATATAAATAATTTCAGTATTGGAGCACATCAAAATAAATTGTGCTAAAATAATCTTATATTTATTTATATAAGTATAATTCTATTTTGGACTTAAATAGCATATCTAAAAAAACTTAATAAAATGTCAAGTATAAAATAATGCATGGAAAATCATGAAKAGAAATTTTCAAAATATTGAAATATGCTTTGAAATTGTTTTTTTCTGCGCGAAACATCTGCTTTTATATAGATGAATATATGTATTTAAAATAATGTATTAAGATATCTGTGATATTCCTCAAGTATGATACTTCGTACACTAGTAAAGGGATTGAAAAAAATAAAACAATATAAGCACTACAAGTTTAAACTTTGAAGGAATCTATTGAAAAAGGTGTATGCGACCTATACACATTTTTTTTTTCTATAAAACAACTATTCAAACTGAGTACCTACCCACCTATATCATGGATTTTTGGGAATAGTGTTTGAGATATAAGAGAAGGGCTAATATACAATATGTTTACTTACCTACCGTGCAGTGCTCTAAATAAAAAAATTTAGTAACCAGAACGCTCATAAAATTAATATGTATGATTGTATTATTAATTTTTAATTTGTTTTTACTTTACAATACAATACAACTATTTAAATACTTTTAAAAAATGCAAGTAATTTTAATCCTGAAAATTGTAGTTATACAACAAATTTCAAATTTTATAAATAGTTTATAACAATTTCCATAATGCTGAGTATTTTTTGTCAAATTTTTTTTCATTTTGACGACTTTTAGTGTCATTAGCCGAATGTCTACCTTTGATTAACCATGAGCGTATGTATTTTTCAGGACGAAATTTAGTAAGCGGAGGGCCAATACAATTAACAAATAAAAGTGCAGAGA